GCAGACACCTCAGCTTGAGAATAAAGCCTGAGGGAAGTGAGGTGTGGGAGAATAAAACTGAGCTCTGGAGAAATGTTTGGCTAGAGTTTCCCCTACAATATGTACCAGTTCCGACTTACATACAAATTCAACTTAAGAACAAAGCTACAGTCCCTATCTTGTACGTAACCCGGGGACTGCCTGTACTATATGAACTTGTTTATCCACCTTATTGCTTTGTGGTTCCCCTAACTGCTGCATAAAACCTTGAAAAATGGCAAGATCCATCAGTAGTATTTGTATTTGTTTAGTAGAATACTTAAACTTTTATGTACTTAAACTTAAACTTTTTTATGTAGATTGTTCACACTCCAAGTGAATTTGAGGTTTTTTTTTAACTTTTATCTACCTATATATACACCATGCCGTGATTCTTCCTGTAGCATTTTTTTTCCTGTGTATACCCTCTGCTGTGTTTTCAGATGTGCTAAAATATTTGAGAACAGCCCTTAAGAGTGAAAATTAATAAATGTGAGAAATGGTACTTCATTGGAATAGCTTTGCTAGGAGAAGTTAATAAAACTTTATTAAGATTGTAATCTCTTTATACATGTTACATAAATTATATTTTTAAATAAAAACGTCTCTAACATTATGCATCTGGGAATAAGCTCGACAAGAAATCAAATCACGTCCCTTTTGCTTAGTTGTCTTAATAGAACATGGTTAGTTTCATTTGCAGTCATGTCAAGGGTAATGCAGAATCTCTCATTACAATTAGATGAGCATTGTGGAGTGTTGACAGGATGTAAAAGATACATAAACCTCTCCATATGCTTGTGAGTTTGAATCATTAGTTCAGTAAAGGGCTTGATCTCTCAGTATGGGTGTTTTTCCATTGTCTTGAATGGAAGCACGGTCCAGCTCTAATTGACCATACATGCAGGACATCAACGTTAGTTTTGTTTTTTCTCCTTTTGGAATTTTCTAATAAAGCCTAAAGTTTATGGCCCTAATTCAGCAAAATAGCACATGTGCATATACTGAAATTTAAGCATATTCTTAAGTGTTTTGTATAATAGGCCTGGAATTCAGCACATGCTTAAAGCATTTTGTTGATTCTGGATCAATTCTGCAAGGCTATGTCTACACTACGGAGTTTTTCTGGGGTACCTCTGGGCAATTTGCCTACCTTTTTCTGAAAAAAACCAGTAGTGTACAAATAGCCCAAGGTGGTGAGCAGCTTCAATTCCCATTGTGGTCACTGGGATTTGAAAGCATTTATTAATTCCTGTAGCTGTTTAGCCCTTTGTAGGATCAGGCCCATAGTCGGTTACTCTTGATTTTAGACTCTCTGCAACAAGCCTGCTGAGTATCTGCAATGTAGTGTGCAGCTATTCTCAGAAAGGATGACACACCCTCATTTTCGGAGTCCAAATTGCCTGATTTTCCTTTGTTTTTTTCAAGATTTTGACCATGACTCTATGGCTGTGTCTACACTGGCATGAATTTCCGGAAATGCTTAAAACGGAATACTATTCCGTTTTCAGTTTTTCCGGAAAAGGAGCGTCTACATTGGCAGGCTGCTTTTCCGGAAAATCCCTTTTTCCGGAAAAGCATCTGTGGCCAATGTAGACGATCGGGGCTTTTTTCCGGAAAAGACTACTGGGCTGTCTACACTGGCCCTTTTCCGGAACAGTGTTCCGGAATAAGGACTTATGCCCGAGCGGGAGCAGAATAGTTTTTCCGGAATAGCGGCTGATTTTGTACAGTAGAGCATCGTTGCTTTTCCGGAAATTCAAGGGCCAGTGTAGACAGCTCGCAGCTTATTCCGGAAAAGCAGCTGATTTTCCGGAATAAGTGGCCCAGTGTAGACACAGCCTATATGTTCAAGAAAGAACCAAAAACCTTGTAGTAGGAAGAAAAAGGTCATAAAAATGTAAGGCAAGTTTTTGCTCTTGGCTTGTTTCCCTATCTTGGATGTCATCTTGTTAGATATCACAAGCTAAGTAGAGTCTGTCTAGGTTAATACAAGAGTGAGACATCCAAGGAATGCTTATAGGCTGCAGGATCTGGTCCTGGTGATTCAGTACAGATGTTTTTCTCCCACAATATCCCAGAATTAGACCTCAACTGTCTTAAGATATTACTGTGTTGTTAGAGGTGCCTTTTTACAGATCAGATGTACATCTGAGATGCATTCTATTTGTCATTAAAGCCACTGTGGCAATTTTTGCTAAGGGTAAGTCTACACATTGGAATTCATGTTCAAGCCTAGCTCCCTTCTATCTTTGTATAAATGATGTTAACCCAGAGCTCGGACCCAGGATCCTAGAATCACATGGCAGATTCAAGCCATATTGCTTTGCAGTATGCACAGCTCCACCAGACCCATTGCAAAATCCCATGGGCTGACTTTCATATTTGGTGAACAGTGAACAGCCAAGTTTGGCTGCATCATGAACAAAGGGATAGAGCAGCCACATTTTGATAGCGTGCTAGGAAAGATGGATACGAGTGATTAGCCTTGGGTCCACATAATGTAATGTAGAGGCTAGAGTCATAGGTTGGGATCCAGGGTTAAACACCTGGGGGTTACAAATGAGCATAGTTCAAGCTAGGGATATAGAATCATGGTTAATTGGGGGGTGAAGGGGAGACTGCTCCTGGGTACTGGTTAAGCAGTACCTGGGAAGCATAATCTGTTAAGGGTGATGCTTACTGGGTAATGCAGTTAACTGGTTAATGGTTCATATCCTTAGTTCAAGCCCTACATTAATAAAAGCAGGATCTGCTAACACAAGTTCTATTAACCCTGGGTTTGCATTGCTGTCTAGATATATTTTAAAAGTCTCTGGTCTAAATCCCAGTTTGACTAATTATAGTCTGGCTGTATAGGCCCACTGCTATTTCATGTAGATAGCAAATGCTTGTTTACCTTCTCTGTTAAATGTCTTTGTAGTGTTGTAATGGTCCGTTAAGCAACTGCTGTTTTCCACTCGGTATAGATTCGGTAATGTGTGAAGTTATTCATTTATATGGTTGATATATCAATTGGGTACATTTATTAAGTAACTAGAGAACAATGTTCATAAAATATAAAATGTAGAAACTAAGTTCTGTTTTTACAAGATGTAGCACCCAGCCTGTTTGCTTTTTTTGTCAGCCTGAAAATGAAGTTATCTGTCCATAATTCTACCAGTCAGTTTTTGTGCCATGTTCATCACCATGTCATCTTGGGGGCCTGATTCTGACTAGCACTGGGATTTCATAAAGGTGTTTATGAAGTCACATGGTCAATGTAATAGCTCAACACTTTGAAAAAGAAATTGTGCCATGTTATAGAAGGATGAGTTGCTAACTTGAGAAAATTCACCCAGCTACACCTTTGGTTTTTAGCAATGGCAAAACTAATTATGGATGTATAATGAGAGGCATATATAATAGGTATGATATGGCAAATGAAACATAAACATTATAAATAATAAATTGTAGGGTGGAAAGAGAAAGTCTATAATTTTACTGAAAATGAGGAAATTAAAAATGTAATGTGTTTGTGTTTGAGCGCACTAAAATCAATTAACAAATCAAAATAATAGTTTTCATGGTCGCTTTTTATATTGAGTCCATTCATAAATGGTTTCTAAAGGATTAATAAATGATTAATAGTTGCTATAAGCATGTCAGAGTTCTGCATAGTTGTAGTGGTCACATGCACATTGCTAGAAGATATTACAGATCTTTATAACCCACGGTTATAAGATACCTGTTCACTTAGGGGATTTAACAACTGTTTAATCACTTATTAAAATAACTAGGAATTATTGATTAACGCTTTCTCAACTAATTTCGTATTTGACCTCAGTATAAAGTCTGACCAATTTGATGTAGAATATTTGTTCTGGGACAGATATTGTAACCTGTTTTCCTAAACAATTATTGTCTGAATAATATATTTAGCTGAACACACAGATGCTGCCTATATAGGATATTCTGGGACTATAAGGGCTAACAACTCCAGTACCTTTACACTTGAGTGCATCACAGTGGTGTTGTTTTATGTTCACTTTGCACAGGGATAAATAACTACCCAAAGTGTAGTGCAATAGAGAACCAAAGTCTTAGCTCTTTTTTCTGTAAGTCCTTCTATTCTGATACTTCTCTTTGGTTTGGTTCCTCTAATAGGAATCAAAAACTGTATCAGATCCATACAATATTAATAAAAAAGATAACCTTAATTTATGTGACACTGATCCACACATTTTGTAGAGTTGTCTGTAATTTTTCTAATGAAGGAGGGGGGAATTTTCAAAGTTGGCACAGAGAGTTAATTGACATTTTAAAAAATTCCTGAATCCCATTTCAGAAGTGATTGTTGAAGCCTACGTTCCATTGACCTTTAAATAGACTTGGCTTCTTAGCGCTTCAGGGACTTTTGAAAATGGGACTTAGGCTCCTAACTGCATAGGCCCTACATGCTGCTCAAAGATGCCTTTGGGAGCAGGGGAACAGCAGGTCTCCATGTGCTGCCAGAACCTGCAGGCACGGCCCCTTCAGCTCCCATTGGCTGGTTTCTGGCCAGTGGGAGCTGTGAGGATGGTGTTGGGGGCATGGCCAGTGTGCAGAGATACACCCCCTCAAGGGGTGTGAACACAGACACATTTTCCTCAGCAACTGGCCACTGTGGGAGCGTGGCAGGCAGGCAACCTGCCTAAGCGCCTTGCTGGGCTGCCTGCAGCACGTTAGGATCCTGGAAGGTTATGGTAGACCAAATCCAGCACGTGGTCTGTATTTTGCCCATCTCTGCTCTAGAGATTCGGTATTGCTAGATTTTTCATAGGTTCCTTTCTGCATCCTTCACCACATGCATTTCCCAGGGAAGGATTTCAGCTTCTGAATCACAGAAATAATATTTAACTGAGGCTGTTATTATAGAAGTTTTAAATATATTTCACCATTTTAAATTGCATTATATTGTATTTTAATGTGTTTGTTGAAAAGCATTTCTGCTTTTTCTGCAGGGTGTATGTAGATGGTCCTTTTGGGAGCCCCTCTGAAGAATCCTTGAATTACGAGGTTAGCCTCTGTGTGGCTGGAGGCATTGGAGTAACTCCATTTGCATCAATACTGAACACGCTGCTGTACGTGAGCCCAACCCATTTAAAGCCATTTTCCCAGTAATTTCAGTGTTGCATGTTGTAAATCAGCATATGCGTAATTCGTATTCATGTAACACTTTCCTCCTGTGGAGAGAGGAATGGAGAGGAGGATTGAGGTTTGTAAATGAAAATCCCAAATCCATTCATAGGGCTGTTCATGAATTCTGAAAGTGCAATGCTGAAAAGTACCTTAGATGGCACAGTGCTACCTAGAGGCCTTACACACAGAGCTTCCCATCCAGCCACAAGTGAAAACTGAGTTTAAGCTCTGCCTAGTCCAAAGGGGTGTTTTTTTTTTTCTACAGTCCTAACCTTTCAATTAGAAAACTCCCACTCTGTGTTAGGGCAGGGACAGGGACAGAAAGAACAAGGGTGCTAAGAGTCAGGACAGAAATGCAATTTCCTCGCATGGAGAAGCTTGAGCAGTACCAGCGTGATTTATATTTGTCTCCAACCAATGCTCTTTGCCTATGTCTTAAAGGAATCAGGTATGCAACTCCCATTGGTTTGAAATGGAACCTGGGCACCTAACTCGCATAAGCCCCTTTGAAAAGCCTAACCTTAATTGCCTCCAATTCCATTCTATATGCTTTGCTCTATTGCCTAGGAGCTCCAGGCATGGATCAATGCCTCCCTGTGTTAAACACGGTTCTCACACACATAGCAAAGACTGTCCTTCCCCAAAGAGCTTACAGATGCAATAAGCTTACCAAGCATTTTATAGTGCACACACATGAAGCACTTGTTCAGAAGTCAGCTGGTAGCTGGAGTGAAATTAAAACCTTTTACAGCCTGATTTTCAGAGAGGCTGAGCTCACTTAGCTCCCATCGGTTTCAATTGGAGTGAAGGGTGCTTAGCGCTTTTGAAAATCAGGCCGTTATTTGGTAACTCCCAGTGCCTTGTGTAGCCCTCAGAGAATTTAACAGATTCCGTACCAGTTTTCATCTCTGACAGTCCATTGTTCATCATGGAGCAAAGAACTGGACTTGATGACCTTTCGAGGTCTTGATCTTTCAAAAAGGAAGTACCGTTTCCTGAAGCACCTTGTGATTTCCACCAAAAGACTGGAGTGCTGATGTCTGTCCTGACCATTTCTCCCATGGTGGATTATCCCTGACAGTGATGAGCAAAAACGTCACATCGTGACTATGGACCAGCAATAGTCAATGAGGTGTCTGCCTCTATCACCATATTATTAGAGCCAGAGAGAGGCTTGCACAGATACTGTCACAGCAGCGTAGTGTCCAATGAATGTTTTCGATATCAGATAAATGGTACTCTTCCAAACACTGCATGCCATAGCCCAGCCTGACAGTGAACCAATCTTGCACTGCAATATTATACAATAGTCCATGTCAAACTGGCATTTGCAGCCCCCAGAACATTTTTATAAAAGAATGAAGTGCAGCCTGCTGGCCGCTCGGAGCACATGGCTGAGTGCTTGCGCAGGGCCAGTTGGGCTTCTCACAATCGGCTGGGCACTCTGCAGTAGGCTCTCCAGCAGGCGCTCACAGCTGGCTGCTGTGCTCATGCTGCCTCAGCACCTCAGGCAGCAACGTCGACTCCAGGACCCAGGTATTAGGTTGGGGGGGTGCTGGGAGAGCCTGGCTCTGGGGAAATGGGAAGGCCTTAGGTTGGGGAGGGGGCTGGCTCTGGGGGAGGAGGGAGGCCTTAGGTTGGGAGGGGACTGTGAGTGCCTGGATCTGGGGCAAGGGAGAGGCATTAGGTTGGGGGGGGGGGGGGGGGGGGGGGGTGG